GGGGGGGGGTGTGTGGCAGAGCCCCGCACTGCTCCATGGGGGCTGCAGCCCCTCTCCCTGCCCAGCTGGGCTCCCTCAAGTCTCCAGAGCTGTGTGTGGTACATGGCCAGCTGCCCTCTGGGGACTGCTCCAAGGCAGCAGGGACCCCCCTCCCGGGGACCTCCTGTGGGGGCTTTGTCCCGAGTGGGTAAACAAGTCCCAGCCTGCTGGGCATCGTCTGGAGCCGCAGCAAATCCAGGGACAGTCGGGGTCCAAAGTGCAGTGCCGGTTTTTGGATTAAAATCGCCCAAACTTGCCCAATTCCCCAGGGGTTCCAGGCGGTTGTTTGATTTGTTTTGAGGCAGTTATTTGATTCGTTTCCGTTGCTTGGAGTGAAAGCCAAAATGCGAGTGTCACGTGGTGCAACAGGACCATCCCTGGGGACACAGAAATGCAGGGACATGGTAGTCCTGGGGATAAAGGGGCACAGAATCAAAGGATCATTTGAGTTGGAAGGGACCTTAAAGATCATCCACAGTCCTAGAGCTGTGGGATCACATATTGTGTTACAGGCAGCCAAAAATGCCCCCACAGTGATGCCCAGGCCCAGCAGACCCCCATGCTGCTGGAGTCAGGCTGTGACAGGGTGGTGGCACAGCCACCAAGTGAGGGGTGTGCATCCATGTCAGGATGCAGAGGCCATGGCATGCTCCGATTCATCATCTCTCGGCACTGGACCCCAGAATGATCCTGCAAAGCCACCTCAGCCCTGGAGTGGAGGGTGACACCTGGGGTCTGCAGCATCTCCCTGTGTCACCCCCTGTTGTCCCTTGCCTGGGATTCCCCCCAATGGCAATGTCCCCTGCCTCTGTAGAGCGCATCACGCAGACGGTGGAGATCACCAAGCACGTGGTGGACATCGAGGAGAAGGGAGTCAAGCTGCGCCTGACCATTGTGGACACGCCGGGCTTCGGTGACGCTGTCAACAACACTGAGTGGTGCGTCCCATGGCGGAGGTGGCAGTGCAGTGCTCTGAGGGTGGGATGCCCACAGCAATGCTGAACCATGGGAGGTGTTGAGCTGGGAGTCCAGGGAAAGCCCCAGGGGTCCCACAGGGACTCTGATGGTCACCTCGCTGTCCCTGCAGCTGGAAGCCAGTGGCTGACTACATTGACCAGCAGTTTGAGCAGTATTTTCGTGACGAAAGCGGCCTCAACCGGAAAAACATCCAGGACAACCGCGTCCACTGCTGCATCTACTTCATCTCGCCCTTTGGCCATGGGTATGGGCAGCCCCTGCCCACACAGCTGGGATGGGGGTTGCTAGGGAAGGAGTGTGGTAGGATGGTGCTCACTGAGTCCCCCTCCGCAGGCTCCGGCCCCTGGATGTGGAGTTCATGAGAGCCCTGCACCAGCGAGTGAACATCGTGCCAGTGCTGGCCAAGGCTGACACCCTGACCCCCACCGAGGTGGAACGCATGAAGAACAAGGTAAGGGGAGTCTGGCTCAGCCTGGAGCCCTCCCAGTGGGTCCCTGGGGGTGGAGGTGCCCTGGGGGCTGGAGGCTCTCTCCATCCCCTGCCTGGGCTCTGCCATGGAGCATCCTCCATGCTGTAGACGACCATGTTGCCCAGGTGGCCACCACAGACACATCTCCTGGGTGCTCGGCTGGGAGCTGGTGGGAGGTGTCCATGACATCTAGTCTGGCAGAGACAGGCTTTTGTGGGTCCTTGGGGGACACCAGGGCTGTGTGGTGCTTCCCACCCCCTTTCCAAGGACCAGAGCTCTCTCTCAGTGGGGCTGTCTGCCTCCAGATCCGGGAGGAGATCGACCAGTATGGCATCCGCATCTACCAGTTCCCCGAGTGCGACTCGGATGAGGATGAGGAGTTCAAGCTGCAGGACCAGGCACTGAAGGTGGGTCTGGCTCCTCCATCTCCATCCGTGGGGGGACAGAGCCTCATGGCCAGGAGGATAAGTCATCCTGGGGGACCCTCAGGACTCTTGGGCTGTGCAAGCAGCCCCAGCACAGTGGGGCTGGTACATAGGTTGATGCCTGTAAGAAAGCTGGGGAAGAACTGTTCGCTAGGGCATGTAGTGATAGGATGAGGGGTAGTGGTTTTAAACTAGAAAAGAGTAGATTTAAGATGGCTATTAGGAAAATGTTCTTCGATATGAGGGTGGTAGATCACCGGCACAGGTTGCCCAGAGAGGTGGTGGAGGCCTCATACCTGGAGATATTCAAGGTCAGGCTTGATGGGGCTGTGAGCAACCTGATCTGGTACCAATGTCCCTGCTCACTGCAGGGGTTGGACTGGATGAGCTTTAAAGGTCCCTTCCAAACCAACACATTCTATGATTCTATATCACACTACGTGGATGTGTCACCAAGACCCCACAGGTGTCACCTGCAGTTTGGTGGGATGGAGGTGGGGTAGACAAACCCATGCCATGACCGCTGCCACCCCAGCTGGGGCTCTCCTGGGTATCTTGGCAAGTGGGTGCTGGATACAGCTGAGGAGATGTGTGTGGAGGGACATGGGTCACAGTGGGCAGGACCGAGCCTTGCTAATCCCTGCCATCCTCTTGCAGGAAAGCATCCCCTTTGCTGTCATCGGCAGCAACACGGTGGTGGAAGCCAAAGGCCGGCGTGTCCGTGGGCGCCTCTACCCCTGGGGCATCGTGGAAGGTAATGCTGGGCTGTGTCCCCCATGTCCCACCAGCGCTGGGGGAACCGGGACATTGCCCCATCTCCATGTTACTCAGCCTGGGGTGGCTGGGGGGGGGAGCACGGGCGGCTGGTTGTGGCCCCCTGACCCCAGTCTACCCCACAGTGGAGAATCCATCCCACTGTGACTTTGTGAAGCTGCGGACGATGCTGGTGAGGACCCACATGCAGGACCTCAAGGATGTGACAAGGGAAACCCACTATGAGAACTACCGTACCCAGTGCATCCAGAGCATGACCCGCATGGTGGTGAAGGAGAGGAACCGCAAGTATGGGGCCAGGAGTGGGGTGCCAGGCTGTGGGGCTGTGGGGGCTGTGCTTCATGTCAAATTGGGGTGACCTCAGCCGATTGTGAGTGGTGATCTCAGGGGGCTGGGGTTGTACGTGGGTCCATGCTGGGCAGCATGGTGGTGGGTCTCAGTGTGGTGGAGAGGGGGCCCTTCCTGTGCCATTGGGCTGGGGCTGGCTAGGGGTGGGGATGCTCTGGCAGTGGTGGGGAGACCCTGCATCCCCCCTGGGCCTGGCTGAGGGAGGATGCTTGGGCAGGATGGGGGACCTGCATCCCTCCTGGCTGGGGGGATATCTCTGGCAGTGAGGGGGATCCTGCGTCCTTGCAGGCTCTGGGGCTGGAGCAGGAGCCAAGCAAGTGGCTCTGCCGCCGGTACCAGCTTTAGCCACCCCAAGATGCTGGGGGGAGCC